ACCTTAATGATTCTATGATTCTAATAATTCATTTGTGTCATTGTCCTAGCTGGGTTTTGCTTCCATTCCATTAACTATCATCCCATATCTGGATTGTACTAAATATCAATTTAGGAAATAAAAGACTGTAAAATCTCCATGTTCTTTAAATAGTAAGGGAACAAAACCATCATTTTGCTACTCTTTCTGCAGTTTTCTTAGTGCTCCCTTGGTTCTTACATGCTGTTCCTTAATGTGTGTTTTGCATCCATCCCTAATTACTATCCAAAAAAACCATAAAAGGGCTCTGAGATCATCACCCAAATCAAAATACTTCCAAGAAATGTTTTCGTTTTCCTATAGTAATGTGTAAGGATATTGTCAAGCATGTGATTTAGATGCACAAATTCCAGTCAATTCCAGTTGTTGCTAATAATTGTTTTTTCCAACCATCTTTCATTTGTGTGTATTAAAATGTTTTTCCTCTCACTGGACTGCAAATTTCTGGGTAGTGAATTTAAGATTACAAACAATAGGCTTGCTCTCCCTACTCACTTCTTGCAAGTCGTTTACAAGTAGTCTGTAGACACCTACACAACTACAAATCACAAACTAAGATACACTGCTACAGAACAACTGAAGGTTTACAGATAACTTTATAGATGCAAAGAAAAAAAAAGGTTTCAGAATAGACAAGAATCCTTATTTCAGATAAACATATGCTCCTACCTCCCAGAACTGATGCTTAGCATAGTAGTCTCCCTGTGCAATCCATTCTTCTGGAGTTGAAGTTTTAGCAAACATGCTGTCGTCTAAGTCTAGAAGGTCAGGGGTAATCATTTTATGTTAGAATGGATAAAGAACAGAAACCATTTATCATGTACCAAAACTAAGCATTAACATCTCACGATGTTCCAAACTCTTTATGATTTGTGCTCACATCAGTAATGGTAACTATGAGTTAAATACATTTTATCCCTCTCAATCAGCACTGAAAATCAACAAGTTGGGTTTGGTTTTGGAAGACCTTTAAAATTATGCTTGGTTTTTGGACAAAACTTTGAGTAAACCCACTGTCTTTACAGAAACCAAATTCTTTCATTTGATAAATCTTTTTTAGCTGGGATAGTTTTCCGTGAACAGCCTTCATTACTGTGCAGGAAAAATTATACTAATGAATTAGCAATGAAGTTATGTATTAACATATACAACTGATCTTTAGAGCCAAAAGAAGTAAGACCCACTGAAATCAGTGGAAATTTGCAAGGGCAGTTATCAATGCATACTGTTAGAGGGACCAAGGAATTTAACCTTTATTACACAGCCTAAAAGCAAGAAAGCATGAGCAGGCTGTCCTGTCTGACAGTCTTTTAAGAAAGTTTTAGGATAACTTTACCTGTCTTTTCATCTGCTTTGACAACCCGAACAAATTCTTTTTCGATGAAATACTTAAAAGCTGGAGCGCGTTTATCACTGTCTTCATCGAAGATCCAAAGATTGACCCTGGCTCTTGTAATGGCAGTATACAATTGCTTCAGTTCTCCATTCAGCATCTGAAGCAGAGCCAAAAAAAAAAAAAAAGCAATACACCAAAATAAAAGAAATGAAATGCCAGATGAGCTAAATTATTAGAAAGAAACATACTTTGCACTTATAAGAAAACAGTGAATATATACAGAATGAATAAATAACAAAGTATCTTTAAGTAAGCAAGTCTAAATATTAAATACGTGATTTTTCATTTACATAAGCCATTGTCCAGCTAATTTGCATGCAACTACTGCTACAGCAAATCTAGCAGCTGCAGGTGTGACAGCCCATTTTCCTTATAATCACTTGCACATGTAATTACTGATTTTTTACCATACAACCCTGAAAATATCTGACTCACGAGATTCTAAGAAGTTTCCTTAATTTTAAGGTAGTGACACCAATGTGAAACCAGACTAAAGTAATAATAAATATTGACGAGCTGATTTGCTATTTGCTTTAACCACTGCTGTTCTGTAAATATACTTAAAAGTCTATTACACATAGTTTTTATTCTCTTACCAAATTACATTTGCAAAAAAACCTCTTATCTTTCAAAATCAAGATTGTATTATACAAATGTGAACAACCACCAAAAAGATAAAGCAACCTTCATAAACACAGAACTACAGGATGAAAGTATTTCTTGAAGAGAGTTCCCTACTTCTAAGATTTAAGAATCTAGTTTATCCTTTCTATTCCCAATGTTATGAAAAACTCACCTTGTACATCTCTATATTAAAAGGAGTTCTTTTCTGCATACCAGTAGCATCCTCTAAAGGCATTTCGATTAGCAATTTGCTTCCTACTTGCACATCCGAATCAGGAGTATAAGAAGAAATGATCTTCCATTCTTTACTAGCCTAAAATATCAAGAGAATGAGGTTACTTGTATGCAGCAATCATACTGCCCACATATGCAAATAAGGTCATATGTTGTGACTGACCAACACACCCCCACAACTGAAGAAGGCTCACAGGAGATGGGTGGGAAAAATAAATTATCTCAGGGAAGAATGTAAAGAATGACCACCAATTTTCATCGAGAAAGCTGAACTTCATCTCAATACAAGTGGTATTGGAGGATAACCTTTGTTTGAGATATACAACCGTACCAGGCAGTCATCAGGTTGAATAAACAACTTTCTTTGAAATAGCTAATAGAGAGTAATGTCCTCCTGAGCCAGCCAGACCAACATGGGGGAAGTGAATACATGGCTCTGCCCAGAGTGTGTAAAAACTGAGCAACAAACAAAACAAACCTGGAAGAGTGCAACTGGCTTGAGCTGGCTTCAAGCTATGTATTACTTCCTGGGGAGTGGGGATGCCCAGCATCATGATGGTGGAGTATATAGGGACTGCTAATGGGAATCATGTTTGTATTGTGATTTTGCTGTATATTGCCATTGTTATATTGTGCTTGTCTTGTGATTTCAGGATACTGCTGTATTATTCATCTAAATCCAGACCACATGTAACGCCTAATGTAAATAAGTAAGTTTGATATTAAACATTAAAACCTCCTTGGGTGGACTATAAATTTTCAGCTAAATCTGGAGATACACCATCGTGGTTTAACCCCAGTTGGCAACTAAGTACCACACAGCCGCTCGCTCACCCTCACCTGACCCCCAGAGGGATGGGGAAGAAAATCTGAAAAAAAAAGTAAAACCCATGGGTTGAGATAAAGACAGTTTAATAGGACGGCAAAGGAAGAGAAAATAGTAATAATAATAAAAGAATATACAAAATAAGTGATGCACAACGCAATTGCTCATCACCCGCTGACCGATGCCCAGCCTGTCCCCGAACAGTGATCGCTGTCCCCCCAGCCAACTCCCCCCAGTTTATATACTGAGCATGACGTCATAAGGTATGGAATACCCCTTTGGTCAGTTTGGGTCCACTGTCCCGGCTATGCTCCCTCCCAGCTTCTTGTGCACTTGGCAAAGCATGGGAAGCTGAAAAGTCCTTGACTCACGTAAACACTACTTAGCAACAACTAAAACGTCAGTGTGTTATCAACATTATTCTCATACTAAATCCAAAACACAGCACTATACCAGCTACTAGGAAGAAAATGAACTCTATCCCAGCCCAAACCAGGACACACCCCTACAATGGATAACCCATCTATGGGTAAAAGGAGCAAATCAGGTTACCCTCGCTATGGACAAGGCTTAAGGTTTAGTCCTAGGGCAGAGGATTCTCCTACAAACCCCAATACTGCAACAGGCAGACTCACTGTGGGGGTGTGCTGTCTGCTGGGCCAGGCAGCTCCCTGCCAGCCCAGGGCAGGGTGAAAGGTAAATGGTGGTGGGAAAACGCTCATGAGCTGCAAACCGTCATGCTAAAATCTGCTATCTAAGACATGTTGGGTAGATCCAAGCCTGTAGGTCAGGGAGGGCAGCCGCCAGGCTCAGTGAGTTGTAGGCCAGCTGGCCCACAACTCATCTGCTACCTCGTCCCTGTAGCACCAAGCAGACTTGGAGTAAACAGGATCCATACAAGCAGAGGCAAGTGGGTGCTGTCCTTTGGTTGGTGTGCTGAAGAGGCAGCTTTCTGAACAGGGCCCAGATCATCCGCCTTGGCAGGAAAAGGCAGTGGATTAAGAAGAGGGCCATTTGGCACATCATCTTTGGCATGCCAGTCATCACCCCTTTTGTAAACCATGACAGGGGGTAGGGGGAGGGAGGGGGTGGGCATGGCCATTGTCAAAACAAAAGGGTTGAAGCCATGGAGGTGGACCCACCGGTATCCCATACAGGCATATATTCTTACCCTCACTCTGCACAGGCAAGAAGGCTGGTCATTCATGTGATTAATGTATTAAGCTCACTGTACAACACCAGTAATCGCTAGTGCTGGTCTGAGCCAGGGACTGGAATGTCACTGGCTGACACACGCCCCTTGGAAGAAGGCTCAGAGATGAGCAAAAAAATATTCACGTGGAGTATCTAAAAAAGAGTGGTCAGAGAATATTGGACTCTGACATATGTACATGTGAGAAATTTCTATAAATGTGCACAAACATACTTAAACATATGTTAAGTGTGGCAGCAGATCAGTGGTGTGCACTCTCATGCTGTGTAACAAATGACAAAATGCCAGGTCCTGATCACACTGTTCTGCAGGTTGCTGATCCCACACAAAACTAACAATCCAGAAAATCATGAGTATATTTTAAGTTGTTATGTTTTCCCCCTTTTTGGTATTTAATGGAAACCTGATTACATAGTGCCAAGTTTCTGACACAAACTGAAAAGGCTGAATAATAATAAGGCTGAAATAGCACTCTCTTTTATTTTTTAATATATACATACACACACATATAGTTCAGAGCTTTAAGCAACCTGATACAGTTTAACTGTCTTCTTAATGGGAAAAAACGAAGGAAGGTTTTCTTGCAAAATGTATTTTGAAGTTAAGATTGCAATAAATCCCCAGTCAAAACACTCCTAAGCCTGTCATGGGTTACAAAATGATAACCAGCTCATGGTATCAATTTGGTCAACAGCTTCCTGGGTTTTGGGGGCTTGGGGGTTTTCCCTTTTTGAGTCTTCATTCAAACCTGCTTCAAGAAACAAGACTCATTTCAAACCTTATTTTCAAGGCTAATAAAAAGCAAACCCAACAAATTATAAACAGTACACAGTCATATTTGCTGCATTTACAACAGTTCAGAAATTCAGCTTTTCAAAACTAGAAAACCTCAGGGTGAACTGCTTTCTTGCCTGCTTGTTTAACTGCTCAAATCAACTCAATTACTCATGACTCACAGGAAAATGGAAGAATTATACGGGAACAGTTCTCCTGGCCTGACATGCATTAGTCTAGCTGAGTTAAAATGCTCAGCACACTCCACTCCAGATTCTGCTATTACTTCATTGTTTTTCTGAGCACAAGTCACATCACCAAAAACATACCAACTTTGAGAAATCTATCATGACAGCCACTATAATACTGTCCCCAAATCTCAGTAAGCAAGATTCAAGGTCATTCATCTCAAGCTCTTTCTTTCCACCCTCACCACATAATGTCTACTAGCCTCTATGAAGAGTCACCAGTAAGCTGCCCTGTCTTCCATTATACATCTGTGGTTTTCATCTGCTGAAAGCCACATCTGAGACACTGTTTTGAGGGCTAGAGGCAGAGGGCATCTGCAACAGAGATGTTCACACTGAATGTTTAATTGCAGAGCAACTCAGTCGTGGGCATTCTCGGGTCTCTGCAGGCATGTTCAGTAAGGATGCTGCCTACTGCCTGGCTGGGGCGGAGAGGCGGGGGCTTGGTGATGCTCCAGCAACAACAGCGAGGCTTCTGCAGTTGACAGCTCTTTGAGAGGAGCCTCAAGAACCTCACCCCTGCCAGGTCTGGAGTTCCAGGAAACCCTGGAGGGGCAGGGTCTGAGCTCCCTGGAGAACCACTAATGAGGAAAAGGAAGTACACAAAAAATACAAAACAAAACACCTCCAGGAAAAAAGCCTTCTTCAACCGAGGCCATTCTACGGGCGATGGTCTCCGTTATAGAGAGTTGTTTCCTGACAACTCCTGAGCTAGACCAGAATGAGCTTTCTGGAGCTAAGCTGTGGATGGCTACAGAACACACTCCCTCCATTCCCCCCAAACATATACACACACTATTTGATTCTAAACATAATTGTTTTACTAAGCTTTTAATTAAAAAAGAAAAAAAAAAAAAAAAATCATTCTGTTTCATTTTGTCTGGGGCTAACAAATGATTTCAAGTCTATGAGCTAGCACACCAAAAAAAAATGCACTGTGAACAGAGTGGTGATGCAAAGCAGGGGGTCTAAGGTGTTTTCTTTGGAACCCAGCACCCCGCTATAAGATAAAGGGTATGTGAGGGTGATGGAGTGTCCCGCCACTAACTGCTCTGACCTAAACAGGGAGCAGCTGGTAGGGATATGCTGTAAGCTAGTGCAGTAGTCTTGGCACATAGCAGAAGTGTGTGTGTGTGTGTGCACGCTGTTGTGTGAACCCCAAGGCTCTCCCTTAAATTGCAACACCAGTTTGAAGGAAAATGCAGCACTAAGGGAAGAGGCGTTAATTCATAAACCGATGAGCTCTGTTTTGTACTATGATGACACCGACCGTCTTCAGAGAAAACAGTGACTCCTTCCCCAGCTGGAAAGCCAATTAGACTACTTGTAAAATCAAGACATTAACAAAAAATGCA